TGTTAATAAATCACCCTGTATATTAAATTATTTTGCTATAAAAAAAATCCACACTCCATTATTTCCAGCAAAGATAAATAAATTGGCTGAAGAGGCGTTTCACGTGATCAATATCGTTGGATAAAAGTGTGCAAACATCAGGTCTATGTGTTGCAGGGATATTTGCCAAGTTTGTTTGTTCTGAAGTGGTTGGCCCTTGAGCGTTCAACATTCGAACGTTCACCGATAAAAGTGAGAATGGAATCAATTCACTGCAGGGCTTTCCTTGTTATCTGTTTTGGGCGAGATTTTATATTTCCAATACAAAGTTTGGATGAGGCTATTTATTTAGGTTGACAAAAAAGTTATAATAAATAAATTCAAAAAATATTTTAACTTTAACACATTTAGTTAAGTTATTATTATTATTATTAGTAGTCAATGTGTTTTATGACTAGTAGCTATTTTATCTTCTGCAGATACATGTATTTAAATATTTTGACAGTTCATTGACATTAAAATATCTATAACTACACTCAAGCATATGAAATGATATTAATTTAAATAATCGGGTAAATTTGATTCAAATAGAAAAATATGTAGTTTTATATTCATTTACCAACAGTTTTACAATGTTTTTAAACACTTTTAAAGTGTACTCTCTTTAAAATATATATACAAAAAGAAATCTATTTATTTCATTGCCTTTCTCAACGTTATTTTAAAAATATATATATATTATACAATTGTTATACACCTTTTAATTTAATGAGAAACACCAATGACGCCAAAACATATTTGAATCCCTTTGAATTATTATCGTTTTGAATGATTCTTCAACATTTTTTCTCTCAGTGAATAACAAAACATTACAATTCTTTTTTGTTACTTTTAATGAATAATTGTACTATGCTCCACACCTCAAAGTCCCACCACGTGTCCACGTACGGAACGCTTTGGCATTTGGCATTTAAGGCTTTTCAGGTTATGTATCTGTCAAAGTATAGTCAACGAAAGAAATAATATTATGTTTAGGCGTTAAAAATATATAAATCTTTATAACATTACAATAACAATGGATGGAATTTAAGAATATAAATACTGCATTTAATGAAATTCTAAAGTGTATGGTGCCAAATAAGTAATATTTTTCTGCATTTGGTCCAAATATCTGGTTTTCTCCATAAAATAATTTTAACTAAACAAATTCTAAAGTGTATGGTGCCAAATAAGTAATATTTTTCTGCATTTGGTCCAAATATCTGGTTTTCTCCATAAAATAATTTTAACTAAACAGCATTTATTAAAAAAAATCTAGCTTCTCTATTATGGAATAAGAATATCTGTATTAAAGGTAGGTTAATATATTATAACAAAAATATCATCTAATTTTGTAATTTTAAGGTTAGAAAAATTTATTTTGACCAAAATAAATAAGTATTTTGGATTATTTAAAAGTAGTTTTTCTTACTCAGCTTAAAGTGTACCTACATAAAGTTTTTTCAATAAAAATAGTTAAAAAACTTCGACTGAATTTGATCTACATCAAAAAATCATTATAACTTTAATATTTTAATAAATCACATGTCATGGGAGTATTAAATATTTTCACATTGCAAGTTTCTCTAAAAATTGTTTGTTTTCTTATAATATAACTTAAAGTAGGTATGCCGAGAGGTATGCACTAGTTTTGTCGTTAGAAGTATAAAAGCTTCAATTTAATTTGAACCATATTCAACAATTATTTAGTATACCCATATTATTTAGTATACCTATATTATTTAGTATACCTATATTTATTTATGACCATAATATTATTAACACACTCTCCCATATAATCCACTTTATTTTGGTCAAAATAGATTTTTCTAACATTAAAATACAAAATTAGATGATATTTTTTGTTCTAATACATTAACCTACCTTTCATACAGATATTCTTAGAAGTTAGATTTTTTTTAATAAATCCTGTTTAGTTAAAACTATTTTATGGAGAAATGTAGACCCAATGTACAAAAATATCACTTATATTGCACCTTACACTTTGGAATTTCATTAAATGCAGTATTTATATTCCTAAATTCTTAAACCAACCATTGTTATTGTGATACTATAAAGATTTATTAACTTTTAACGCTTAAACATAAGCGGTAACACTATAAATATTATTTCTTTCATTGACTATAGTTTGACAGATACATAACCTGAAAAGACTTAAATGCCAAATTTTCGTTTCGTATGTGGTCACGTGGTGGGACTTTGAGGTGTGGAGCATAGTACCCAAAGATAATAATTATCTTTGATAGTACCTACCAAATATTTTGAAAAATTTTTTAACCTGTTTTTATTAATTAAATTTAAAAATCCACGGCATTGTTTACGTTTATAAATACCCGATTAAATAATTTGGCAAGCTACAGTTAAATTTATTTCAAGCAAATAATACTAGCATATTACCTATCAGGACTGAGCTAATAATAAAGCAGAAAAATAAATAGCTTAACTAACAATGCTTGGTTTGTTTGCAGTACACATGTTTAAAAATTATAGATATTCTAATTATACAGGGTGTTTTAAAGAACATGCGCCAATGCTCGGCTTGATTTTCAAACGATAATATTAGGTAGTTTTTGTTTAACTGAAAAAGGTACAAAATATGCGTTTCTCAATTTTCATACAATTTTATGGTTTTTATTTTTTCCTGTCGAAAACAAGGTAAGATATGAAAAAAACAAATGTAACAATATAAGTTGTGTTTTTAACCTAATCATAAAAAAATATCAAAATTTCAAAAAAGTCAATGGCGTAGGCGTCATTAATATTTGTTATCTAGTTAAAGCAAAATTAGCTTCTTATCAGTAATTAATTAACGTTGACAAATTTAAACAAAATTGGGCAAATGTATATATGTATCTTGACGAATCCCCAGCCGAACATTGGCGCATGTTTGTTAAAACACCCTGTATATTTGGTAAAACCATAATAAGCAATATCCTATAAGTTTTATAAAAAATATTTTATATTTAAGTGTTCCATAATTTAAACTTTATTATTGTCAACACTCACTACTAAAGTAATTTATTATCGCCTAGGCTGTAAATAGTATATTATGTATCAAGTTTGATAAAAGCCATTTTATACACGAATTTAATTTAGTCAATTTAGTGCATACTATACTTTTTCTACGAAAATACTTATTATCTTAAAATTATTTAAATCCAATATTTTTATAGAGCGCCATGTATGAAACAATAGGAGAATCTGTATGTCACCGTCAAATGTCAAATTTTTATATTTTATAAACACAGATTATAAAGGTTATAAATCGAAATGTATTTCTTGAAAATGGACAGTTTTTACAGTGAAAGTAAAGAAAATGTTTTATGAGGACTTTGCAGTGGAGTCCGTGCCCGAATTTAAGTTATAGTTTACTACCGGCGAAATTAAAAGGTCAGTACAATGTTCATATAAACTTTTTAAATATTGGCTTTAAGAAACTATTTAATGCTTTTTTCTACGACCACTATGTAAAAGTCACTTTTCATGATGGCATCGTTGCTTAGAAAATGAATCTTTTCATTGGCAAGGCAAAACACGAAAGTAAAGTGAGATTTCTGTGTGAAAAGTGACAGGTCTGTGTGAAAAGAACTGGAAAGCATCGTTTGACATTCAGCTGTCAAAAAAGTTTTTAGGTTATTTTGTTTTGTATTTAAAAATAATAAAAAATAAAAGGGTCGCAGAAAAAACATTGTGTTATACTTGTGAGAAAAGCTTTCTTCAAGCTCGTGTTAATGCACACTCGGCCTAACGGCCTCGTGGGCAACTTAAAAACTCGCGTGAAAAAGTCGCTTTTCAACACTTGTAAAACAAATAACTATTGTACTTTGTATTGAGATAATAAAATAATTGAATGAAGTGCTCGTAAAACATTGTCTTTACTTTCGCTGTGAAAAACTGTTGTTAATCCATCTTTAAGGAATATATTTCGTTTTATAAAACATACAAATTTGACATTTGACGGTAACACAGTATTGTTTTATAGATGTCGCTCTATACAAATATTTAATTTAAATAATTTTTTGATAATAATAAGTATTTGACGTGAAAAAAGTATAGTATGCAACTTGTTTATAAACTTTCCTAAAATGGCTTTTATCAAACTTGAAACACATAATATACTATTATTTATATTGTTAAAGCGTATTTTTTAACATTTTATTAAAATGATTTTTTATTACTTTTAAGTTGTTCTGCGAATAATTTTTGATATCCAATGTCTAAAATTGGTAATTTTTGCAAAAAATGGTTAAGAAACAAATAAAATAATCATGTGAAATTTCATAAAATTTGTCTTATAGATGTTTGCTTAAAACTGTGTAAATTAAGTAATACTGTCACAGGTAATATTCTCTCCAAAAATAATTTATTAGGATCCTAAAAATATTGTGTTAGAATTCAAGGACAAACTTTAATTTTAAGTATTAACACCCACACTTAGACAATCAAACTAAAAAGTTAAGCAAACCCGTTGTCTATTAGAAATCATAAATATTTTGTATTTTTATTGGTTGTAACAAAATAATTTTTTTTAAAATTACTAATTTAACACTTTTATATTAACATATTATTTACCTTTTTATAGGGACATTAGCATACATGTGCCAACTTTACTCTACTAAACAGGTGTAATAGATGTTAATGTAAAACTTAAATATTATTTAAGTAGGTACATATTTATTTAACTAAAACAAACCATAAAATATTTACAAACTTCTTTTAAGAATTTAAAAATTAAAAATTTGTTTTTTAATAATTAATACCGGTGCCTTCACCATTTTTTTAAGTACCAATAAGTTTTTTTTTTTATTTTGATAAAAAAGAAAATCATTTTAGGAATTACCATTATCAGAACTGTGCAAAATCAAAATAACAAAAAGGTACCCAAATTTGAAATATCTACATTTTTTCTACCATATTTCGTCACTTTACGATTTTTTTTAATTAACTTAATTCGGTTATAGGCTCAAACTACATTGAAGGACCCAGGTAACGGTAGCAAGGAACTGACCAGTTGGGATTTCGAAGAGAGATATGAAAATACTACAAATGTGTTGGGTTTGGTGGTGTTCGCCATTGTTTTCGGAATTAGTTTGGGCAAACTTGGAGAAAGAGGCAAAGTTTTGCTTCAATTCTGCGACAGTCTTAGTGAGGCTATGATGATTATCACTAGTTGGGTAATTTGGTAAGTGGGCATTTTTTTAGTAATTAATATATAATATATATTAAGAGTTTTTTTTATAAAATATAAAAAAAATGTTTTAAAATTATTTAATTTTATACAGGGTGTCACCAAATAATTATTAACTTAAGTTATCATCCTTTAATTAACCCCTTAAGGGGATGATAGAACAAGCCAAAATAGAACGTTTTTCCTCTCATTTTTGCATTAGTACCATTTTTTAATAAAAAAATTATTAAAATTGGTATAAGTAAAGTAGACATTTTGGGCCACCACTGGTATGCTTGCACAGTGGACAATAATGTACATTCATTAAAAATTTACATTTGGATTATTATTAATTACTTTGTTGATAATTGTTTTTTGTTTTGCATACTCAGCTACACACAGGCAAAATAATCGATCCACACAAATTTTCGATGAATTTCAATCGCAAATAACTTTTTTATTTGATGTCGGATTTAAACGAATATTAAAGAATATTGTAGATAAATTAATGGACAATCGCTCACAATTTAAAATATTACTAAAAAATAGACGAACGTTTATAATATACAGGTTTAAACAAAAAGATGTTTTTTACCATAAGTTTAAGACACTCTGTAGAGTGGCAAAACTGTATATTGTTCTAAATTAAGTTTTATTTATCATGTCACATCTATTCTTAACAGTTTTGTTTTTGGTTCACCTCGATATATTTATTTTTGTGAAAAATATGGATTTTTTAAAAAAAACATTGCAATTTCCAATATTTTTCTGTATGAAGAACTAAGGTTATGTGTTAATTTTAAGGTGTCTTCATACTTATAAAAATGTCCACGACTGATGTTGCCAGACCCATTAATTTAATCCAGGATGAACGGTCACAGTATTACGTGGCAAGTGTTTTAAACGTCACAAGAAGTAAATACAAAGGGCATCATCAGTCGGAGACATTTTTATAAGTATGAAGACACCTTAAAATTAACACATTAATTTACAAAAAACAATTTGATAGCTTTTGAAAGCTGTATATGACATATACAAGTATGGGATGATTCAACAAAACTGTCACTGTCATCCTCCATAAGCTATGGATGGACCATAGCATAGTTCTTCATACAGAAAAAATATTGGAAAGTGCTAGGTTTTTAAAAAAAAACCATATTTTCCACAAAAATAAATATATCGAGGTGAACCAAAAACAAGACTGTTAAAAATAGATGTGACTTGATAATTAAAACTTAATTTAAAACAATATACGGTTTTGCCACTCTACAGAGTGTCTTATGGTAAAAAACATGTTTTTGTTTAAACCTGTATATTATAAACGTACGTATATTTTTAGTAATTTTTAAAATGTGAGCGATTCTCCATTAATGTATCTACAATATTCTTTAATATTTGTTTAAATCCGAAAACAAATAATAAAGATATTTGCGATTGAAATTCATCGAAAATTTGTGTGGATCGATTATTTTGCCTGTGAGTGTATTTTTAGGTACTTAATATAAATAATAAAACAATACTTACTTTTTATTGTTAGGTATCTCAAGGTTTCCGTGGTTTTCCCGTCGATTTTAAATTTCATCTTTCACTTTTTACGTGATTGATGCTTATGTAGCTATTTTTTTAAGTGTTCCACAAAATCATAATAAATGTTTAACTATTCCGCCTTTATTATCCACACAAAGTTGAAAGCGGCGTAGAAAATTATGATGTGTCGCTCTTACCATCATATCCGGATACTTTCGGATTTCATTTGCCGCTGTAGTGACAAGTTCGCGAAGTTGTTCTAATCTGTCAACTTCGCTTTGGTACACTTAACTGTTCAAGTAGCCCCAGATAAACCACAATAACAACCAAACTGTAAGAAATCAATGATAACAAAGTACCTACTAACTGATTTAGAATAAGTTTAAAAGTTTGCTTGATATTACATAATACTGTGCGCATTCCTGTTTTTTTTTGATTTGATGAATACTATTATTGTTTTTAGAGGTTTTGTCAAAAAAATTTCATATTTTTTTTAAAAGTAGCTCTAATGCATAAATGATATAGGAAAATCTATCTTGTTTTGGCGTGTACTGGATGACAATTTATTAGGTGACACCCTGTATAATTGTTTGTGAAAATGGGATCAAAATTTGTTACATTTATTTTAGGATCTCTCCTCTTGGTGTCTTCTTTTTGGTTGCTGCCAAAGTATTGGAAATTGAAAGTTTTGCTGAATTGGTAGGAAGATTAGGCTTGTACTTCGCCACCGTCCTTTTAGGTTAGTATTTTACTATTATTATTATTATTATTATTATAATTATTATTATTATTATTATTATTATTTTAAATTAAACTAACATTATAATTTAATTTTTTTATTTATTTTTAGGTTTGTTTCTTCACGGATTTGGTACCTTATCTATACTATACTTCATCGCGGTCAGAAGGTTACCTTTCAAAGTTATTGGTCAGTTGAGTCAGGTTTTGGCCACTGCTTTTGGAACAGCATCAAGGTAAAATAATATTTTCTAAATTAAATTTTATTCTGTATCTTCTCCTTTCCAGTTCTGCTACAATGCCCATCACAATCCAGACCTTGGACAAAATGGGCTTGGACCCTAGAGTAACAAGATTCGTAATTCCTGTAGGAGCAACAATCAACATGGACGGTACAGCTTTGTACGAAGCTGTTGCAGCTATTTTCATCGCTCAGCTCAAGGGTATCGAGCTGTCTTTCGGTAGAACGGTCGCAGTATGGTAAGTTTACAGATTGAATGATTAAATAAATCTAAAACTATTTAAAGAGTACCTACTGTTAACCGATGAATTTCTTTTAAATTGTTTATGACTTTTTTAGCGTGACAGCCACTGCAGCAAGTATAGGAGCTGCAGGAATTCCACAGGCCGGCCTTGTCACCATGGTGATGGTATTGGATACTGTTGGTCTTCCTGCTGAAGAGGTCATCAATATCATTGCTGTTGATTGGTTGTTGTAAGTATTACCAAATTAGAGATAAAAACATTTTTTTAAACTGATTTTTAAATCCATTTACACTTCTTAACAATTGAAGTGTATAATTATAATTATCCCGAAATTTTAATGTAATATTGTTTTTAAGTCGATCCCACTCTGTTGTGTATGAACACATCTGCAATACTTTTTCAACACAAAAATGTTGGTGTGATTTTAAAGTTACCACCTTTTAGTGAAGCAGAGGTTCTTGATATTGTCATTAGTTATTAGCAATCAATTTTTATTTTAAATATTTACGCTGATAATTTTAAAATTCTTCCACTTCAATTGTTGAGCAGTGTATATTACACTGTGCGATGCAGATGAGAGTAGGAAGCGCTTTTTTTTAAATATTAAAAACCAATGTTAATAATTTTCCCAAAAATTCCTAAAAAGTTTCTTTAAGTTGCCAACAAAATAGTTTTATTATAAATAAATACTCAGTGCAACAGTATAAAAATTACTTGAACGCGGTTTGTATGGGTCTAAGTCAGTGGCGGCTGGTGGATTTTGGGCACACCCATATCTCAGTTATTAGACATGGGACCCACATCAAATTTATATGAGTTTTTAATGACATTATATAGACATGTTCTGCGCAAGCAGAATTTAAATTAAAGTTTGCAAAAAAAGTTATTTTTTAAGTATACCCCCTAGCCTCCTGCGCCCTATATTAAGATAATTCAAATTAAAGTGGTACAATATTTAATATACTGAAGTTTATCGACAAATTTCAAATTTTAATGAAAAAATTCAAGTATTACAGATTTTATACCATTTCTATTTTTTTTTAAATTTAGTAAAAGAAATAATAAAAATTTAAATTGGTATAAAACCTGTAATTCTTGAATTTTTTTAATAAAATTTGAAATTTTTTGATAAACTTAAGTGAATTAAATATTGTACCAATTTAATTTGAATTATCTTAATTTGGGGGGGCAGGAGGCTGGGGGCACACTTAAAAACTAACTTTTTTTCGCAAACTTTAATTTAAATTCTGCTTGCGCAGAACTTGTCTATATAATGTCATTATAAACTCATATAAATTTGATGTGGGTCCCATGTCTAATAACTGAGATATGGGTGTGCCCAAAATCCACCAGCCGCCACTGGTCCAAGTAACTATTTTTATTAAACAAAACAAAAAGTCTAACCGGCTAACTTTATAGACTTATTTATTTAAACGTGAGAATTGAAGTATTGTGTTTATTTTTTAGTTATTTTTTTAAATTTTAAATTTTTGTATACTATAATATATATACTATATATACTTTAATATATATATTATAAAATGTACCATTACCATTATTTAGGCTTACACAATTAACCAATTCATTATTTAAGTAGGCAAAGCTAATTTGCATTAACGAGGCGTGACTTACAATTATTAAACTTTCATGCTCATTAAGAACATTTTTGCACCAGAGTCCTTATTCTAATGGTGCTTGCTGTAATTATTTATTGCTTATAAAAAATGAAGCCTTTTACCAATCAGATGCGACGTGCTGTGAAACGCTTCCAACCACTTAGCATTTGCTACCGAGCCTTTAACTGGTAAAGCAGATCTGTTTGCTGAGGTATATGCTAAATCGCTACGGTAGTTGTAAAGAAGACTTTGTCTTGGGAGGAATATAATTCACTGAAAATATTGAGTTTTTGAAAATCTTGTAAACATTGGTCAAAAAATAGGTTTCTATCACAAAAAAGTCCAAGAAATAAAAGCAAAAAAGTAAAACCAAAAATATAATTTGTTTTTTTACCTTGCCCTTACGTCTTATTTGTAAAATGTCAACTACGGATTTTTAGACACCGCATCGCAAAATTAAATTATTACAGCGCTCTTGTGGATTGGAAATACAATGTCTGAGCCATATCCTTACATAACTGACGTAGGGGCCAAGTTCTAAAAATTCAAATATAGCAAAACCGTTAAATTATTACAAATCTTGAAAATTATTTACTTTTGTACAAAATAAACATCTGTCTTAAAAGCATCGATAATTTAAAAACATGGCATTATCATAGTTTTCTTTGAATAAAAAATAAAAAATTCGGTATATCAAATAATTATGTCCTTTTAAATTCCAGTTACAAGGGGATACATTCGGACACTTCCGACGCATTCGCCATTTTTAAGTAGTAATGGCTGAACGGATTTTAATGAAATTTCGTATTCTTGTAGACCATCAAATTTCCTAATAAAATCTACCCCAAGATTATTTTTTTCAATTAAAAAATTCGTAAATTTGAAAGATTTGAAAAATGAAAAAAAATCAAAATATTCAGTTTTAGTGATTTTTTACACTTTTCAAAGCTTTCAAACATACGAAACATAGGATAGATTCTTTGGGAAATTTAATGCTCTACAAGAATCCGCGACGTAAAAACTTTTATCGTAAACGGTTCAAAAGTTATGGTATTTTTAATGAAAGAAGATTTTTTTACGTGTTATTTAAATGGAAAACTTTAAATGCCCACCGACACCTTTTAAAATTGAGCTAAAAATCCTGCCTTGTAGGGACATTTTTTTCCCGGTATATACGTTCATTTTAACCCATAAATTCAATAGGTTAGTTTTTTTGGCTCACCCTTAGGTCCTATTTTAAATACCTCACGAAAAGACCCTGGATTTTATAAATTGCTATATCTATTATCTCGTATACTACACACAGAAAAAATCTAACATAGTACCAAGAACAGCGCTTTTTATTGAATGCATTAAAATTGAAGCAATCTAAATTGTTATTTGCTCAATTAATTACTATTAAACCAAAATAGGGAAATATTTTGCCTAAATGTCAAAGAATGTATTGCGTTAAATGTATACATAGTATACATACAATAGTAACGTTATTAAATAAATCAAATTAGTATTTAATGCAATAACATTCTACCATTCTAACAAATAAATATCAATATGAATATCAATAGATTTAGGAGCGATAACTTTTGTTGTTAATTTAAAAACAGTAAACGATTATAAAGCAAGTGCTAACTACCTATTGGTATTATAGGAACTGTTAGGAATACGGATTACAATATCCCATTGGTTTAATGGCTCACCCATTCATGCTATGCTAGCGTTTTTTCTATGCAGTATTGCTATAATAGCTATAATTGACCTTTGATTTTATTAACATACTTTTATTCCTAATAGTTATAGAACTAACTAACTTCTAATAAATAAAATGGGTATCGATATTTTTTATAAAAATTAAGTTTTTGTATTGTGAGATTCTTTTTAGAAATAGTAATATAATGTCTCGTTCCTTTATTATTAATTATTTTAATGCAACGTCCTAATAAAGAAAGTGGGTATTTACATGTATGTAAATACAAGGGGATCTTAGGCCTATATCTACAGTTTTGAGTCTAAGCACCGATGAAAATATTAGGTTCGATTTATTCTAAAACGTCATTTTTAATATAAAAAAATTTCATGTCATGTAATTTTTACCGTTTTAAGACACGTCTCTAATGGGAATCTGTTTTTAGGGACCGATTTAGGACAACAATCAACGTGATGTGCGACTGCTTGGGAGCCCGTTTGGTCGACATTTTGAGCGTTGGCGAGCTTGGACGAGCTGACGAACAAGACAGACTAAACGCCGAACCCCACGAGCTAGTCGAAATATCGAAAGCAGACGACAGCCGCATGTAAAACTTGAACTAAAGGACTCAAAACCTTAAACAAATCACAACAAAAAACAAAACATTCATCACTTATAAGTACCTATAACTGTTATAAGTTTTTGACCAAGCCAATCTATGAGACCAATTTATACATTAAGCTACTAACAAAATTTTAGCAAAGAAAATTGGTCTGTAATTGTTAATAGTGGATAGAGAGATGTCATTTTTAAATGTTAAAACAGGATACTTAAATCTTGGGATAGGTTTACCCTAAAGCTTTAAATTTAATGGAAAAACTGAACCAAAATGTAAACTTTCAGTGTATTTTGAAAACAATATATATTCTATAAAATGTTTTTTAAGAATTTAGATTTTGGATACAACAACCACTAATGTTTAACTGGAAATTTTAAAAAGTCTAAAGTTTTATATATAGAATCTCAAATATCATAACTAATTTTTAATGGTTTATACCTAACTCTACTAAGCCACAGTATTAATAAAGTGTCAACATATGTATTAATAACTATTATAAGCCTATGTGTGTACTCGTAATTAAAAAAAATTAATGTGATTCTAGAAAAAAATGTGAATTTATTCAATTATTCTATATAGTAGAAAAATTGATGTAATATGTGACAATAAATATAATTGTACAGTTGTTTTATTAAATGTTTTACTTTCTTACATATAGTTTATTGAACTGTTTCATTACTTCTGGTAGTTAAAAAAAATCACCAAAAACTTTTATATAAACAGCTGCTTATGTTAACTTTATATATTCAGTGTACATATCATACGCATTTAGGTGAATGTTTAGATATATATTTTTGAAAGTTTATTTTTAAATTTTCCACACAAGACATTTTGTGGAACTTTTTAAAATCTACTTTTCTGTGTTAAATCATAATCCAGTTTATAGATGTTGTTTAAATTAGTACTCTGTTTAAAATACTCTTTTTAGCAAATTTTATCTAAAGGTAAAATTTGTTATGAATTCCATACATATTTAATGTTGTTTTTCTTCTAAAATATTTTTATTATATAGTTTATTGATATTGTTTATTATGTATATTTTTATGAATTTTCTTACATATATTTAGGGACCAATTCTTTTTTCTTTAATGTTGTTTTGAAATATAAAATAAATTAACTTAATTATGCACTTAATACTTGTTTTTAATCTAAAACCAAAATTTACATATTTTAATGATTTATATCCAAAATATAATCAATAAACAAAAAAACAAATTAAGTTAATTTAATAAAAAAATATTTTATTTAAAATACTTGTTTGATGGACTATTACTGCCGTATTTATTGTAGTTCAAGGTGCCATAAGTTTTAATTTGAAGTTACCACATATTAAAGATTACAAAAATAATTTTAATTGTATTTAAGTAATTTACCGTACTTTGCTTTAAGTTTATTTTATAAGTTTGTTTTTATATAATATGTATAGAAATAAATAGTAGAATCAAAAAAGTTTGTTCATTACCATAACCCGTTATTTTAAATTTAAGAAAAGTCAATCAATTTTCGGGGTTTCGAGTATTTCTAATGAAGTTTCGGCGATTTAAAAAAAATTGCAATTTTACATAAATTATTTGGTTAAAGATTGTTAAAGACAAACTAGAATTTGGATCCTCATTTTTCTGTGAAATAACTAGTCGGCATTTTCTAAAGGTACCTACCGACAAAATTATTAAACAAACCATTTGATTTCATAAATTAGAGGCCCAAAATAAACAGTTCAATCTGCATAGCAAAAAACTAGTCTGTTTAATAAACATGTTTTAAAAAATGCCCGCCCAAGGAGTTACGGCCCCCAAAAAGGGGAATATAAGAATGATTTTAGTCCAAAGTATTCCTAAAGGGTCGAACTTAAAGAAGTTAATTTATGATACTTTGGTAATTTTAGGCGTAAAATTGTGGGAGGAGGTAAAGGTACAAAAATAACATAAAACAAATAAAACATTAACCCGGTTACTAAATGGTACGCCTATCATTAAATTTTGTACTTTTTACTTTAGGTCTGCATTCAGCATTCCTAAATTACCGCAGTATACAAAACTAATGTCTTTATTTTTAAAGCTATATAGCATATACACTCGAAGAAAATATATTGTAACACCTAACAATATAGATTTGTTCTTAGGTTAAGTGGAAGAACAACAGCCCTTTGGCTTGAACTTCTCCTTTTGTAAACAAATTTAACAATAAAGCTTTTTATTATTATTATTATTATTATTAGTATATGTACTTTAATCATTTTGTTATAAAAATTTAGTAAAGTTAGATATTTAAATAAATTCTTAGGATGCTATATTTCTTCTAAAGAACATGCTTAAGACATAATATGATATATTATATCATGATCCTAAGAATATTCTAACTGGCCTATAGGCAGGTTCTTAAAAGGTGCAAAGTTTTAGTGGTAAAAATTAGTCTACTCTAAACATATGCTTAGAATGTTAAGAAAGTAATTGCTATAGAAAGTTCATTAAGGAATATTCCTGTTAAGCATATTTAGTTCAGTTACCTATATAATACTTATATATACCATAAACTACGTATAAAGGTATATACCTATACTTAAGTACCTAATTTAGTTTTAAATACTAAGTAAAAAACAGAATTCAAAATATTTTTTCATAGTTATTTGTCAAATTAAAACAATATTCGATAACCAAAATACTTTTATTATATGTAGGTATTTTATTTTATGTTAAAAATAAATATTTATTAATTTGTATACCGATTTTTTATTTCTGACTTAACATTTTTATGTATAATAATCTCAACTATCTTCAACTTCAATCTAATCTGACTTATCCCACAAAATTTTCCAATTTTACTTTTTATGAAATAATGTCATAAACCTTATGGTTTAAAGGTCAAATTGTTTATTTAATATTTTTAAATAAATATATATTAATATGTCGCAAAATATAAGGGGACGCAAATACATTTCACTGTCATATTATGACAGTGAGGCGTATTTACGAATGTAGAATACAACATATTAGAACGTGGGTATCTGATATATTTGGAAAAGCTTCCTAGAAGCTCCATAAGAAACCTTCTAAGAACATTCCAAACGTATTCTTAAAATGTTCCTAGGATGATTTTTAGGAAGGTTTTAAGAAGCTTTTAAGAATCTAATTGCATCATTAAAAGGGTATTGCGTGTTGTAAAAGTCCCTAAGAACATTCTTAGCAATAAGAAAAGGTTCTAAGAATATTCCATTATTCCGGGTCATATCTTCTAAGGAGATTCTTAAAATCAAATTTTGCTATCAGGGATAAGGTACTTGCATATGATTATTATAACTAAATAAATTATTGTTTTGTGTAACAACAAAAATGTTGTTAAAGTTAAAGCTATATAGCATAAGGATTATTTGGCAAATTCATTTTTTTTTATTCATTCGTGAATTTTGTAAATGCGAACTAATGAATTTGTATCTTCGAGTGATTCCGGTGTCAATGAAATTCAAAAGTTTTGCGATTTTATTATTATTATTATTAATATTATTATTATATTATTTATAAAGATTTGTTTTGCTCAAGGAAAAAATCATCTTCAGAGGGCTGTAGCTCCGTCAGGAGGCATTTTTTTGATACATGAAGTTTGGGAACATTTACAAGGATTATTCGGCAAAGACACGGACTTTTTTAAAGGGAAAATCTTTAATGATTGAAAGATATTTTTGTAGTAATTTTAAACAATAAATAGACAATTTTCAGTATTTTTTTAGTCATAAACGGGGTGCAAAGTTTGCAGCCCTACGTAATATTATATCATAGTTATTATGAAAGAGCAACTCAAGACTCAAATTTTGGTATACACTAAAAGTGAGCTAAAGCCACCCGTGTTTACGGTATTTAAAAATGTACGCAAATACATGTATTGTATTTAACTTGAAACCTTAATTACGTTTGTTATCCTCAAACAAATGTTTTTTACACTAATCAGAATAACAAAAGCTTTTGCTTTACAATCCACAATTTTAATAATATGGTATGAAATAAACACAAAGGGTGAAGTTTAAACTCTATGACCTAAAATTATTAATCTAAAATTTTTCATGTTTTGGTCGTCCGGACACACAAATATATATCTACGAATCTACAAACGATAGGCTTCCCTTTTACAAAAACCATAATAAAATGGAAATTTAGCGAAACAGAGTATAAAGTTTGATAACGCCATTTCAGACACAAATTTAAATTTACCTTGCGAGCGAGTGTTTAATTAAATGAAAGGGTGAAAAGGTTATAAACGAGTTGCATACTATACTTTTTCTACGACAAATACTTATAGCTTGATATAAAACCCATAAAATATACGACAAATAATTTTTATTGTCTATGGTTAATATGCTTAAAATTTTAAAGTGGAAATTTTTTGATAAAAATCATTTTTGGTCAGTTTTCGTTTGTTTGTCATTTTCATTCCAACAAAAAAATGTTGGGAATCTTTTGAGAATCCTCCACGGTTGTTCTTAATTTTTACTTAAAAAATCTCACTCCAAAATGTTCATAAAAATCAAAATTACAAATTAACCGTTTAAACGGTTGTCTAATTAGACAATAAAAATAATGAGTTGTATAGTCTGGGGGGTTTAAAATGAAGTAAAACTTTAATCAGGAATTAAATTTTCTCAGAAATTTAAAATATTTTGTTTTTTTGTAACCCCATCCGTGGGCTCAAATTAAAATCAGAATAAAAATCGCTCCGCGGGGAAATCAACATTAAAATTGTGGCCAATTTCTGGTGGCCATTTTTTGTCGTTGAGTGTATTATCGAAATTCGAGTTATGTTCGATCTACTCGAAAAGCATACTTTATCTGTTGATGTGACTTTTTAAAAGTTTTATTTAGAAGATTAAAATATATTCTCAATTTAAATATATTTGCTTAAAGCAAATTTATGTTTTATGTGACGTAAGAAAACCCTAAATGTATAATATAAATAATATTTTTATAGAGAACATTAACATTACCTTAAAGTAAGGTCCAGTAAAATGCGTCAAAACCCATATCTTTAAAAACAAAACTTCATACTATGAAGTTTTCTTTTTAATGTCATGTTTATTAAAGCTTTTTTTTTTAATTGACTGAACATTTTAAAGTAAAATTTTTATGTCTTGGTATATTAAGTACACAATTTTAAGCACATAATAAGAATAAAAGTATTTTTAATTCTGGAACTGAATGGCGTATTTTCTGATTAAAAAATTCGATGAATTAAAATTTTGTTTGAGATAATTTTATTAAGGCGCTACGTGGAGAAACACGCAGTCAAATTGAAATTATGTAAACCAAAATTTTAATTCATCGAATTTCTTAGCCAGTTAATTCAAGGTGCGCAACATTTATTTAAGAAAAAGTAATACTGTAATTATCATTATGTCGCAATTATT